GAGCACCCATGAATTGCTGGTGGTTTTAGAATAAGAGGGAGAATTAGGATACACACACACACACACACACACACACACACACACACAAACACACACACACGTACACTCCCTCGAATTACCTGGAGACCAAGGGCTCCAGAGGCAGCCCTTTCAGTCTTGGACCTCCAGAAGTGTGTCATAATAAACCCCTTTTCTTTATAAAGTTATCCAGCCTCAGGTAACTCACTATAGTAATACAAAACATTAATACACCTAGTCAAGGCAATTATGTTTTTAATTGGTATGGACCCAGAATTGCTGTCAATGGCCTTCCATGTGAGTGGAACCCAGGAGCCCTGTGCATAGCCTACAGCAAAGTCTGTGTGGTTTAGGGGCAGATCAGAGGCAAGAATTGGCGACCCATGGACTGTCTTGCTCACACAGATTGTTTTACTATTGTAATGCTTACAAGTAAGTAGGCTTCAGATGAAAATTGGCACTTCTGTCTTATTCTGGAAATTCAGAAGACTGGCAACATTGGGACCTGCATTCTCATGGAGCATCAATGGAGTGAAGCAAGGACTCAGCTGCCCCCCTAGACAGGGTGTGGTGTACACATCCTGCTTTACCCCGATGGCTCAACTGTGTCTCCTCCACCTCCCATTCCTATGACCAAGCCCTAACTCCCAATCTGACTGCATTTGCACACGGAGCTTTTAAGAAGATCATTAAGGTAGAATGTGGTCACAGGGTGGCTCCTAATAGGACAGAGTTGGTGTCCTCATAATGGGAAGAGACACCAGGGATCTCTCTCTTGGTACACACCAGACGAAAGGCCACATGAGAGAGCACTAAGGAAGCAGCCTTCACCAGAAACCAGCAGTGCCAACACATGGTCTGAGACTGCCAGCCCTCAGCACTGTGCTTTCTCCCAGAACCCCTCCCCATCGCCTGCCCTTCACACCCCAGCATGCTGCTCGGGCTGGACTCCATGACCGCTTGCTTGCACTGCTGCCTACTAACTGGAACCTTCATCCCACCCTGCACCTCCTTAACATCCAGCCATCACACACCTGAAAGATGCTCCAGCTAAAATTTAAAACCAGGACCACACCACTCACACCATGAAGCCTTCGCTGTCACAGGCATGCCAGATTCTTGTGCTGTTGTGTGCGAATCATGTGGGATGAAGCCCTATGGGGAACGGAGCACATAAGGATCTGTGGGGCAGTGCGTTTGTAACCAGGGCTGAATGAGAGGCACAAACACGATTCATGGGAACCTGAAGGAGAAATGTATTTCCACCAGAGCTGTCTGGGAGGAGTAGTTACTGTGCAGTTGAGTGTGGCCTCAGGATGGTGTGCCAGGAGCACAGAGGGCACAGGAGCGAATGGGCCCTCCCTATGTCTGTGTCTTCTGTCCCCAGTCCTCCACTCTCAGTGCACACTTCCAGGATCGTTAAGTGAATGGAGTCAGAGAGCAGAAGTGAATGGCTATTGAACAGTGACAGAAGAAGTGAGCATTCGAGCTTGTGAATGGCCCACAAATCATGCTTCTGATTCAAAAAATGTCCAGCTCAATCCATTCTAATTCCTAACAAAACCAAGAACCTTTCTGTGTTTAACTCAAACCTATGCAAAATCAGATAAACCACACCCACTGATGTTTTGTTTTAACTCCTGGGGATGGAAGCCAGGACCTTGTGCACACTAGGTTAAGTGCTCTCCCAAGGCCCCAGCCTGAGTGTCAGCGCTGATCTTCTGGGTGGAGAGTAGCAATACACTCTCTCTACAAAGTACGAGTCCTCTGACTTACTGTCATTTCAGATCCGACGTTGATACACAAGCTATATACTGCACCAAGAGATAAACAGTGTCTTGCTTTACTTGCTGATTTATGACACACGATTTTGACCAAACACAATAAAAGAAAATTAGTAAACAAATACATAAAAATCAAAAGAAATTTCAAAAACAAAAATTTTAAATTCTTGCTCACATTCTGTGGACAAGCACTCAGTCAGTCCTGTGATATCTTGAGTTGTGTTTAAATCCTGTGTGATTGTGGTTTCCCTGCCCTTTATTTTATGAAAAAATCTACCTCCCAAAAAGCAAATGGCGCCCAAGTGAATGTGCTCAACCGAAGTGATAAAGTGAGACTTTGAGATGTGTCGAAAGGCAGCATGTCTCTAGCAGAAGTCAGGAGACAGTGTCGTGGGAAAGTGAGCTGGCATCTGCGGGGCAGCACTGACCTCTGCACCCTGGGCATGCCAGGCTTTCCTCCACGCCGTCTCCTTGGAGCCACAGACTCGCAGATACCAAGGTCTGCTGTATTGTCATTCAAAAGGTGTTAAAAGAAACGGACTCCCCAGAGCTCACCATTCCATTCTTCACACCTTTGCTCCTGTTCTCTTCCACGGAATCATAGCTTAGTAATTTTTATTATGAATCAAGCATTTTCGGTTGCATATGTCATTTGTTATTGTTATTATTATTGCTGTTGTTTTGGTGCTGGGATCGAACCCAGGGTCTTGCACATACAATGTCCCACTTTTTATTATTTTAAGGCTTACGTTTGACTATCACATTAAAGCATTGTCATAACTCTAGACCTCATCTAGTTCTTTATTTCTTGAGACCACAATTCCCCCTTTTGAGTTATTTTAATCTGATTCATTTACAATTTTTTTTTTGACTGGAAAGATTTCTAGTTAATTTCTTTCCAGAAAAATGAACAGTCACATGTCATTTCAGATACGAGGTTGGTATACACGATACAGTCATCTCTGAGATAACGTCTTCAAAGTGGACAGTCATCGAAAATATGCTATAGTGAGCTGAAATTTATTTTACCTCACATATCAACTACAGTTTAAGTAGGCATGAAATTCTAGAATTAGAAATCTGCATCCCTAGTCCTCCCAATCTCTCTCTCTTTTTCTCTGCCATACTTGGATTGGAACTCAGGGCCTCCCACTTGCTAGGTGACTGCTCTACCACTTGAGCCAGGCCTCAGCCCTTTTTGCTTTTAGTTATTCTCCACATAGGGCCTCTGGATGGTGATCCTCCTCTTACCTACTCATCCTACATAGCTGGATTACAGGCATGCGCACTGTGCCCAACTTGTTGGGATCTTGATAACTTTTTGCCTGAGCTGGCAAAATGCGGTCCTCCTGATTTCTGCCTCCTGAGTAGCTGGGATTGCAGGCATAAACCACAATGCCCAGCCTCGTCTCTTTTGAAGGGTACCCTAGGTATTTATGCAGTATACAGTAGTCCCCCTTGTCTGTGCTTTTCCTCCTTGCAGTTCAATTACTCATAGTAGTTGGAAAATATTAAATGGAAAATTCCAGAAATACAACAATTCATCAATTTAAAAATTTGAGCTGTTCTAATTATGTGCTGACCCACTCCCTCCAGTCCAGTGTATCCATGCTGTATATGCTACTTATCTGCTAGTCACTTAATAGCTGTGGGTTTGATTCACTGTGCAGTACAGCACTTGTGTTCAAGTAACCCTATGGTTACAGGTCCTAGTCATTCACCTCACTCTATCTCACGCCATCACAAGAGCGAGTTCAGTACAGTACGATTCTGAGAGAGTGAGACCACATTCATGAAACTCTTATTACGGTATATTCTCATAGTCTTTTATTATGCGTTAATGACTTACTGTGCCTAATTTACAAAAATCAAACTTTATCATAGGTATGTATGCATAGGAAAAAGCATAGTACATACAGGATTCCCTACTGTCCATGGGTTCAGCTATCTTCAGGGCCCTGGAAAGTATCCACTGCTGAAAAGGCAGGACTATTGTGTTTATTGTTTCTCAAAAAAAAAAAAAAAAAACAAAAAAAACAAAAGAAAAAAAAAGAAAAGAAAAAGAAAAAACCCTTTGTTTTAGAGTTCAGATATTTCACCATGATACAGCAGCCAGGATTATGTTTTAATTATTTATTCTTAAAGTGAGTCTTGTTCTCCAGATTTTAGAAGTTACACTTATTAGCAGACTTTATACTCAAGTCATGGATGAAATAGCTCCTTTTGCTACGAATTAGCAGAGCACAGGCCTCAACAATAATTCTTCCGTATGTCTCACAAAATTGGGATCAAAATCCCACATTTTTTTCCTTTAAAACTTGAAAGACAACAAGTGGCATCAAAAATTCATGTCTTTTGTTTTGTCTTGTTTTTGTCAGGGGCTGGTGGCTCACGATATAATCCTAGCTACTCAGGAGGCAGAGATCAGGAGGATCGTGGTTCGAAGCCTGCCTGGTAAATAGTTCTCGAGACCCTATCTTGAAAAACCCTTCACAAAAAAGGGCTGGCGGAGTGGTCAAGGTGCAGGCCCTGAGTTCAAGCCCCAGTACCGGAAAAAAAAAAAAAATCACGTTTTTTTTCCCTTCCTGGCCACAGTACAGTACATGGACACTTTTCTGGTCGGTAATCAGTAGAAGCAGACTTACGCTTGCTGCTAAAGCTGAGCGCAGTGGATCACTTTAGAACACTGGCGACAGGAGCCCACGTTGTGGAATCGCCCGGTGCGAGGGGGTCGAGGGGAGTGTAATGCCGATGGCACCAGGGTGGAACATGGACAAGGAACTCGGTACAGTGCCACCTCTTGAGCCGCTGATGTTATTTCTCAAAAGGCCCAGCGCCACACCTACCAACAGCTCTTCTCTGACGCTGTGATGGGAACTACAGCGGTGCGGCCCAGCTAAAAAGCCTCGCGACCTCCTGTCACTTGTGGTCTTAGAACCCAGCGCATTGCCTGGACTGCGGCAGGAAACGCAAGGTGTCGCGAGCCGCCCCCTAGACACATGCCGTGGAAATCAATGCATCCGGGAGGAAATTACCCCGAGAAGCTTATTAATTAATCAGCGAGCGACAGGCCACAGTGGCAAGGTGTGTCACCTCCGGAGCGTATTCCCACTAAGTCGGGACAAAGTCATTCGGCGCGAGTTTGCCGAGTGCGCGCCCCGCGCGGTCCCCCCGCCGCCCCCGCCCCCAGGGACCTACCCAGCAGCAGGAGCCGGTGCGTGCGTTGCAGGTCGCGCTTCTGCTCGCGCAGCATGCGGTCGATGCCCCGGCTCACTTTCCGCGCTTCCCGGGCCGCCTCGCGCTCCTCGGCGCGCACGGGTTCCGCCCGCCGCCGCCGCTCCGATCGTTGCTCCTCCTCGGGCCGCGCGCGCGTCGGGCTCTGGCCACCGCCCGGAGGTGGCGGGGTCCCGGTCAGGGGCCGGGCTGGAGCGCGCCGGGCCGCGCGTCCTCCCCCAGCGGCTCCGAGGCCGTGCCGGGGTCGTCCCCGGGGTCCCCGAAGAGCAGCGGCCGCAGACTGTAGCACAGCCCCATGTGGGCGCGGCTGGGCGGGCCGAGGGTCCCGCGGGTTCCCGCACGGGCTCAGGCCCGGGTCCCCTCGGCGGGGCGCTAGGGGTCTACACGCGGACCACCTGGCGCGGCGCTGCGGCGGGCCGGGCTCAAGGGCCCCGGCCCCTCACTGCCCCCGAAGGCCATGTCGCCTCGTCCTCCGGGTGCCGGAGATCACCTGATAACGCGGGGAGCCGGCCGGCCCCCACCCCTTTACCGTAAATACCGCCGCCCTGTTAGCCTGGTCCGGTTACCGTAAATACCGCTTCCTGATGGCTTCTTTACCGTATATACTGCCACCCAGGCTGACTGCAGATCCATACCTTGGCACGCGGGGCCTTCGCTATGGTCAGCTCCTGGGCTGCTGCAGGGGCGGCTTGGTCCCCACCTGGGCCTCAGACAGGTAGGGAGGGATCCAGGTCTCCTGGGGGCACTGGAGCAGGGGCTAGCTCTCTTAAGCATTGTTTGATGTTGAGGTGGTTAGTTTTGTGTTGAACTTCTAAGTTTTTATTTTAAGCACCATTTTTCTCCCCTTTCCTGTGAATGAAACTCCCAAAGCAGGTGTTTCAGGCCTTCGAATGGCAGCCATTAGACCCTTCCCTTATGCCTGGCAGCCTGGAACAGGGACCTATCAGCCAAGGAGCACCTTCTCTGCCAAGCCCTCATGGCAGCTCTGCTGTTTCGACACTGTAGCTGCAAGGACCACTGCAACCGAACAACTCACCAGGACGACTCCAGGAGACCTGGCTCCAGTCAACTTTGCTCTTGACAACCTGCCTTAGAAGGAAACACTCCAGGCAAGACAAACCTCTGTGACCTTTGCAGCTATTCTCACTCAAAATGGGAGTGGAAGCCCCCCTCTGTAGTTACTCAGCAAGAAGCCAGTGATTGGTGGAATTGGAAGTTGTGCTGTGATTGGTGCCCCTATAATCCTTTATTTGCACATATAATTTATTATATTATATTATAATTTATTACATTGTACTATATTATAATTTATTATATTATTTACACATATAATCCTTTATTCACATCCATAACTCATTACCCTATATTAGCAGGCTGTTCAGCTCACTTTTTGTGCTGCTCCCTGGTGTTGCAACAAGTGGTATAATAAACGGCTTCTCCAAAATGGTCTTCAACGTGAAGAGCAGACAGCAGGTAGAGGCAACAAGCAGCAGCAGGGGGAAAGCAGCTGAAGAGTTCCAGACAGCTACTGGAGGCAAAAACTGCAGGAGCTCTGGCAAGTGACACGACCAAAACTGATGCAAGGACGCAAAGAGGAGGTGGAAAGTCAAGACTGGGAAGCAGAAGGCTGTAAAGAGTCTGAGACAGATTGTGACTCCCTGGTCCCTAGCAGAGTTCCAGCATGCTGCCAGGCCTTAAGGGCTGAGAGATCTAACGCTGGTCTCTTAGTCAATGTTCAGAGCCAAGGGTCCCAAAATCCTAAGCTTAAGAGCTGCAATACTGTTGCAGGATACTCAAGGTCAGGGAAACCAGACATTGAGGCAGTTCCGCGGGAAGCAATGTTTTATTGTGCTGGCAGACTCAGCGGACTCATGTCCAAAGGCTGAGCCCCCCCTGGGAACTAAGGGGTCTCACCTTATATACCCTTGCAAGCAGGTTACAGAAGCAAGAAGCAAGGTTTAACTCATACATGGTTGCATGCAACTCTATGGCTACTTCACCGTCAGTGCTATGTGACCTTCCGATTCTTCAAATTTTATCTCCCTATGCTGTTCCCCACCCCCCCATTATCAGGATTATCAGGACACAGACTTGCTTGTCTCTTGCTCCGGCCCATTGAGGGTCAAAGAGCATCATCCTGATTTAGGGGTTTATATTTCCACAGCATCATTATATGGATGGCCATTTTCTCTGGGTTTTTAAATCTTCATATACCTGGGCCCCAAAAGTTCACCCCTGGCAAGTGGGAGCAGGGAGGAGGATGGACGGATAGACTCCACCACACAAGATCCTGACCAGTTTAGGGGAAGTAAAGTATAGGCTGTCCTCCCGTGTATCCAGTATAGTCCATCTGGGGCCCACCATTTGATGTTTGCGTTGACATTGTTTCAGGCTCAGAAAAAAGTTTATCTCATTGGACAAGCCATTCCTCAAGCTTTTGCAATGCGTATATTAGTCATCCTCTGGAGTGACTAAAGCAGGGCTGTCATCCCAATGTTCCTGCTCTCCTGGGGAGTAGAGTCCTGCCGGGGAAGGCCTTGGGCATTCTGGAAGGTGATTTTTTCATGGTGAGGATCTGAGAGAGGCTGGCTTTACTTGGCTGTGGTGGATCCAAGGAGTGATCTCTGAAACTTTAACTGCTGTGGGGGTAGACAAAATAATAACAAAAGGGCCTTTCCAATGAGGTTTTTTTTGGACCTTCCATTCCTTTACCCAGGAGCATCCCCTGGCATGTAAGGGTGTGTGGGAGTTGTCAGGCTAATGGGAAATGTCTCCTGGACCCAGTCATTGCTTTTTGAGAGCGTCAACCCAAGAACCTGCATCTGTTGCCTCAAGGTGAGGTTACCTATTTCTTTGAGGTCCCCTGTATGCCCTTGATTAAGGGGGTGGACATCCATAAAGGACTTCAAAGGGTGAAATCCTGTCTGTTTTGTGGGGCTAGACCTAATCCTCAGTAATGCTGTGGGTAATAATTGATCCCATTGCAAATGGATCTCCTGACATAGTTTTCTCAACTGAAATTTTAGGGTTCTATTCATATGTGCCACTTTTCCTGAACTCTGGGGGTGTATGTAACTTCCAGATGATTCCTAAAACCCTTAGTTACCAGCTATACCACTTCTGCCACAAATGCTGGCCCATAATCTGACCCAATAGACACAGGTATTCCAAACTGAGGGACATTTTCCTTTAGTAGACACCTGGCCACCTACCGGGCTTTTTAAGTTCATGTGGGGAAGGCTTTCACCCATCCTGAGAAGGTGTAGACAAACACCAACAGATATTTGCATCCTCATGCTTGTGGCATTTCAGTCCACCATCAAGTTTTTAAGAGGAATTCTGCTAACACTCTATACCTGGGGAGGCGCCCTTGGCCCTTGCTGGGGGTTGTTTTTGGCACATAGGCTGTATCTTTCACATACTGCTTACTTATGCTGGAGAGCTTGGGGACATAAAAGTCCTGGGCCAGGGTGGTCTCAAGGGCTGTTTGCCCTGAATGAGTTCCTTCGTGAAACTGCTTGACAAATGTAGGAGCCAGTGACTCAGGGATGTCAATGCAGCCATCAGCAAACTTCCACCATCTGTCTGGTAAAAAATTTCCCTCCTCAATCTTAACCCAAGCCTGCTCTTATGGTGTGTACCTTGGGTCCCACTCAGCTAAGAGTCATGGGAACAAAGCAGTGGTCAGGGCAGTTGGGGCTGGTTCCCTTGTTAGGTCTGTTTGTTTTACCTACCTGTCAGCTTCCTGGTTTCCTGGAGCAATTGCTACATCTCCCTTTTGGTGCCCTCGGCAATGTATAACTGCCACCTGTTTAGGGGCCCATCCAGTGTCTAGCGGTTTGAGGATTTCCTGCCCATACCTGATACTTTTTCCTCCTGAGTTAATGAGTCCCCTCTCTGTGTATAAGGTCACATAGACATGAATGGTTGGGAAGGCATATTTAGAGTCAGTGTAGATGTTTACCCAAACTCCTGCCGTGAGCTGGAGTGCCTGCATGAGGGTAACAAGTTCAGCCTTCTGTGCAGAAGTTCCAACCGTGGCAGGCGAGCCTCAGTGACTCATATCCAGCAAAGTGCATGCTGTCCCAGATAAGGCTGCTGCCATCTGTGAAACACTCCATGTCCAAATGGCCTATAGTGTGATTGGTTACATCTGGCCAGCTTGAGAAACCTTGTCCATAACCTCTAAGCAATCATGCTTAGGGGCCCAAATCAACTGGTAATAGGGTGGCTGGGTTTAACAGCCTCCAGCTGAATGTGTGGGTTTCCTATAGCATACTTTGGTATTTGGCCATCCGAGAGTTGGTCAGCCAATAATTTCCCTCATACTCCATGAGAGTCAGGATGGAGTGGGGAAACCAGACAGTGAGTTCTTGCCCTAGGGTAAGCTTGTCTGCTTCTGCCACTGGGGTAGCAGTGGCTGCTAGGGCATGCAGGCAAGGTGCATGCCAGCCTCGGGAGATAGCATTGAGTTGTTTTGACAAGTAAGCCACCGGACAATGCCAGAAGCCTAGTAGCTGAGTCAGGACCCCATAGCTGGTCCCCTTTTGCTCATGGACTTACAGGAAAAGGGATCAATCACATACAGCAGGCCTAGCACAGGGGCATTTGTGAGTGGCCTCTTGATTTCTTTAAAGGCTTTCTCTTGTTTTTTTCCCCATACTAAGGGTTCCTGTTCTCCCTGCTTTGTGGCTGCGTAGAGGGGTTTGGCCAAGAGGGAATAGTTAGGGATCCAGATTCAGAAAAAACCTGCAGCTCCCAGAAACTCTCTGATTTGCTGGTGAGTCTTGGGGGCTAGGATGGAACAGACAGCCTCTTTCCTCTCAGGGCTGAGCCTGCATTGCCCCTGGAACAGGTGAAAGCTGAGGTATTTGACAGTGTTTTGGCAAATCTGAGCCTTTTTCTGAGAGACTTTGTATCCTGCCTCCCATAAAAGAGAAAGGAGGAGGCAGGTCCCCTTCATGCAGTCCTCCTGAGTTGGTCCAGCCAGCAGGAGGTCATCTGTGTACTGGAGGAGTGTGCAGCCATGCTGGTTGGCTGAGAAAGGTTTGAGGTCAGATGCCAAAGCAATTTCAAAGATAGTGGGGGGGGGGCGTTGAAACCTTGTGGGAATCGAGTCCAGGTTAGTTGCCTCTTCTCCAGTATTGGGATTTCCCATTGGAAGGCAAAAATAGCCTGGCTCTGTGGAACTAGGCATATATGGAAAAATGCATCCTTATGATCCAGGCAGATAAAAAAACCTTTGTCCTAGCTGGGAAAAGTCTTAAAAGCATGTAAAGATTTGGGACTATGGGTGC